AACGCACGCAGCACACACACACACATTTATATATATATACATCGCTCGACTCGAGTCGTAGCAGCAGCAGCAGCAGCAGCCGCAGCCGCGCGCACTTGTATCTACATGCAGATATATCGCTCTCCGACTCATATACATAAACGCGTGTAGGTGAAATGCGCGTCGATATATCATTACGCGCGAGGGCTTTTTAGTGCATCGTAAATTTCTAGAGAAAGATAACGCGCATAGATGTGTACGCGCGTTCGTGTACGTGTGCACACAGTACACACACATGCACGTGTATTTATAAAAGGCTTTTTGCGGAAGGTTGCGAGCTGTGTGTGTGTGTGTGTGTGCTGCGCACCGTAAGAAGTATACGCGTATAGTTCGTTCGATACAACGATTATTATTGTAGAGAGAGAGAGCTGCACAGGCTTTAGTTTGCCTTTTTTTGATGTACGAGAGATTGATGAGCTTTTATAAGGGGGCAATGAAAGCTGCTGTTAAGGATGCAACGAGTTGGGAGGTTTTTACGACTCCTCGACGCGAGCTCAGCACTGCGGCTCCAAGAGACACCGTGCAGTTGTGTATACCTTTGCCGACCGATGTAAATAAACCCAACGTACGTATGTATACCTTCGTTACACGCGTATTTGTTTTCTCTCTCTCTTTCTCTCTTTTTGATTGGGAAGAAAAAAATTGCAAGTACCGCGACCGAAAAAGAATCTAATTGAAATTTTCTTTCCTCAAATTCAGAGCAGCTAACTTTGACAATGAGTGACGGACTAGTGACTTTGCTATAGGATATGGTCGCACAATCGGCAAGGGGATGAAAACGACGAGTACGAGGAAGCGCCAAACTAATTTCATCTCTGTGTAACTACTGCTCGCGTGGACACTCGTCGTCGTACTAGTCGTCGTCGTCGTCGCAAGCAAATTAGTTGAGAGAAACAATTCTGAAACTACGATTGCGACTCCGACGTGTCCTACACACCAGAATCGAGCTTTGCTCTGCGAGTCTCTTGCTCGTTCCGAGAGTGAGAGAGAGAGAGAGAGAGAGAGAGAGAAAGAGTGTATGGTATACGCCGAGGCACTCCCTCGTCGCCGAACGACGAAATAGACCGAGTGAGAGGAGAAGCAATCTAACTATCCGTTCGCGAGCGCGCGCGCGCGAGTGGTTACACTTGTATTACACACTGACCGTAGAGGGACACTTCTCTCTTTCTCTCTCGCTCCATCTCTCTTCCTTTGCGGTTTTAGCTTTGGAAATGACATTTCTTCCTGTTGTCGCGCCCATTAGGGACCCTCGCCCACGTAGCGCTGACAATTTTCCTTTTCTCATTCATTGGATAACCTGGCTCGGACTTCTAAATCGCTTCTTTTGTTTTACGTTGTCTAACCGCTTGCGCTGACATTTCTTTTTTGCGCTGAATACTCAATTTGTAGCGTTGAATTGCAGTACAATTTTTAAAAAGACAGTCAGTGTTTTTTTATTATTTTTTCATTTACAAAAAGTATCGAAAAAAATGTGCAAAAGCAACGATAAAAGTCAAGCCCCAATATCGCTTTGGGCCGACGCAATTAGTCTTTTTACGGTCGGTTCCTGCGAAAATGCCGAATATAGCCGCCCGCGTGCACGTAACGGGGGCGACGACGACGCGAACTCATCGGGCGCGCCGCAGCTCCGATACACGCGTAATAATAATCTGCTCCATTACGTGACCCTGTTAATTTTCGATGACTGCCCCGTTGTCACGACTCGAGTCGACGCTCACCCGCCCCCGGGCCAATTGGTTTTGAACGCCGCATTATTGGGGCCAAATCATCGATGCTCGCGGCTCCACCTGTGATTATACGCGGTATTAAGTGTCGAAGCGATTTACCAAGTCTACGGTTTTATGCGGGAGAGAGAGAGAGAGAGGAATTGAGCCCTCATTTCGTCCTGCGTTATGCTTAATTATTTCATTGAAACAAACACAGTCTCGATGCCGATCGATTTCGCTTTCGTTAATAATTTTAAATGGAATTTTTTCAGTTTTCATCGAGTGAATATAATAGAGGAATTTTAATATTTTCATCGAGCTCGTAACATCTTATAATCTCAAGAATTCAAAAGCATGCGCCATAAAAAATTCGAGTTACAAAGAAGTTTAAACTTTAGAGACTGCTGACACACTACTTATTCGGAGAATTATTTTATCTTCGTCGTTGCTAGTGACACATGAAACTTTTTGAAACTGCGGCCCGTGGAAGTCCCGTCGATGCGAGTCAGTCGACGACCAACGGTCGATCGAGCAACGTCTCATAATTAATTTGTATTAGTTTTGTTAGTTTTGAGTGCAAAAAAAACCAAGAATTATTTAAACGAATGCAGTGACTTTAGTGACTTTATCTGTGAATCCCAGTTGGTGGCAGGCAGCAGTTTTACTTGAGGGGCTATCTAATCGACAAGGTGAGACTTTTTATTTATTAAATAGTACTAATAAATGAAGGAGCTCGTGAAAGAAGTGACAATGAAATTGCGCTGATATAATACAAATTCTTTTCGTGCGTCTTTACGCAGCTGAAATACGCAGGAAAACATGAAACCATCATTTTATTTTGATTTCATTTTAGTTTTACTGCAATACCACTATTGAAGATTATCCCTTTTTATGAAAAATTTTTTTAACGAACTTTTCATAAAATTTATGAAAAAGAAATAACCTTTGAAAATCATTATGAAATTATTAAACTCACTAACTTTGATAATGGAAAAAATATTTATTTTTACGTCTTACATTGAAATTATCGCGGAGCTGCCCACGAAGCTAAGGTTCGGCTAAGCTTCTCCAAAGTTCATCACTCGGACACGAATGCGTTGAAGTTTTCAACGCTCGCATGAGAAAAACAAGGCGTTTGGAGGGCATATTTTTTACGATCAAGCTCCAGGGAAATACTAGCTCTCTCGTGCGTTCATTACCGCGTGTGTGTATACGGTATTATATGAGTTTAATGACTCTAACGATCTATGCGCTCCTTTGTCACGAACGCACCACAGACACTTATAAAAGCATATATATATATATATATATATATAAATATATACATTGTACACGGGCCCAGACGCACACCATATATAGACTAGGCTGTATAAACGAGAACGCCGTTGTACCCGGAGGGGGCTCGAAGTTAAAAATTTTGCGCGGCGACCGACCTGCTCGTTTTCAGCGAAAATGATAATTTGGAGCGCGGCGCACCGCGACATTGTCATCCGCGGGCGACATTTACCTTCGTGGCCGACTCACGTGTACCCACACACACAGCATACGTATATATACCATAAGGCGTATCATTAAGTGGCCAGTTTTCGTTAACAATCGCCCGCGGTCCTTTTTTTTTCTCTGTCTCTGTATCTTGCTGGACTGGACTTCGATGCGCTTGTGATAAAATTGTTAGTTATCAATGCAAATTATACGAGAGTGAGAGAGAATGGCCGAGTATCGGTTGGCGTTGTTTGAACTGCCTGTGATGCATTACGAAAAGAGACGACGTAAGTTAATGAAATATCTCTTTTCGTTGTATACTTCAAGCAGCTCAAACAAAGCCATCCGATACTCGGCCGTTCTCTATCGCGTATAATGCATTGCTTATTACGACGAGCGCATTAAACAAACATTTGTCTGAATATTTTTTATAACAATCCGCCACGCGTCTTTTTTTTGACACGGCGTAATGTGGCGTGCAGATGAGCTGCGATTACTCTCGCGTATAAGCGTCGTTACGCAAAACCACATTCGCTCCCCACGTACTACACGCACTAAGTTTGCAAACCATCGACGCTCGGTGGGTTGCTGAATACTGCTTTTCCTTTTGTTTTACATTTACACCGATGTAACATAAGTAATTCGAGGGAATAAACCAGAGGCTCTCATCTAGCCACGATTGAGGCGATGGTCGATGCGTGTAAACGCAAACATACGCGAAGGGTTTGCGCTACAATCCAAAGTATACACGCCCGTGTGTGTAAGATTACGGGACAGTAACGAGACCCTCTTGATAATTACATGGACTGCGGTTTTATGTCCTTTCGCGTTCAGTACATTGATTTATCTGTATATACTATATGAATTGGAAAATGAACTCGAGTATTGATTTTTTCTAATAAATTTATGGTAACTTTAAATACTTTTTGGTCAGTAAAAAATAATCGACATGATGCTGAATTAACTAATCGTTAAGCAGATCTTAAATGTGAATTAGCTACTGGATTGTGAAGATGAAAAAAAAAAAACATCCACAATTCATCTCCGTGACCGGTTAATTACAAACCCCTTGCGAGATGAGTTAACCCTTCTTGTAGTTTAATTGAATCATTGCCTAATTAATTGAGCTCGTTCAATTAATTTTCCTCGTGTTATGTACCGATAAAAAAAATCAACTATTTAAAGTTATATTGCTGAACACGACAATCGACCTGTTTTGCTAGATCTCTCGTGTAGAATAATGAATAAATAATACGATTTTAGCTTGAACTTCGTGTTTTCTTTGTTAGAGAAGATCATTTCTTGAAGTAAAATAGATAAAGTTGAAGTACATGGTCAGGTTGATTTTAATTTAAATTTAAAGCAGTAAACTAATTGCTAAGATTTTTTTATGTGTATCAAAATACATTTTTTTTTATTCTTCTTTTGGGAAATGTTTTTTTAAACAAAATATGTGTTACTTACGTATTATAATTTGAAAATGAAATAGCACATCTAATAAAATTCTAAGGGCATCCCAAAATCGTCCACCGTGCACCATCTACTTGTGGATGATAAAATGTGCGTGGTAAATATACGTTTCAATAATGAAACTATCTACATTACCGACGTTAGACCTTGCAGCACCGTAGAGTTACCCTTTTAGTTCGCGCAGCTTTGATAACTGCTGCAGATATTTCAAGAGGTCAACTTCCTATTTCGACCACTGAGTATGCGGCCGGCGCTGGATCAGCTGTTTGTGACTCGTGCTTTTGTTGTCAGTGATGGCCGGTATCTCGTCGTGAGTCCGTGTCATAACAATATATCTCGTTTTTTTAATATACACAAAAGTTAAGAAATATTCGAGGCATCGCTCGAATTGATTTGGAAGGAGTTTATCAGGTATTTATCATTTTTTTACTTATGAATATGGTAGACAGTCGAAGTATTTTTTTCAAGATCGTGTGTGCAGAAGTACACTTGGTTATTTATTTAAAGAACGTGTAATTTTAGTGAATTGAGGTACGATAGATTGATTTTATTCGTAGATAAAATGAATACATTTTGTTGACTTTGATTTGTATCCTAATCAATCTTGTAAATTTATAAATACATTTTTAAAAGTACTAAATAGTGGAAAAATTCTAACTTATGTTGGTACATAGTTTTTTCATGAACGACAATTTGATTTGGATATAATTATAATAAATTCATTAGCAGCAATTTATGTAATTCAAAATCTCTTAAAAAACTACTGAATTGTTATAAATATTTAAATGTTTTTTTGATACAAATCATTAAATTATCAGTTTTGTGGGACAAAAAAATGTTAGGCTTTCAAAACTTCGTTTTAAATTGCTTTTAATTTATTCACAATTAATTTTAAATAAGTAATCAATCGTGTACAATTTTTGCAGTGTAATGCTGACGTTAGGACGACTTTTCAGATCAACTGCCACGACGTACTTAAAGAAAACAATGGAATCAAAACGAGCATTAACTGTCATCGTTAAAACCGAAGACGGTAAAATCAAAGGACATGTTCTTGACAATGTCGATAAGGATGTCGAATACTTTTCACTGCGAGGTACTCCTTACGCCGAGCCCCCGATCGACGATCTTCGATTCAGGGTAAATTTTATTGATCTTTATTTGATTTAACTTGATGATCCAATGCTTATTTTAAAATAACTTTTTCTTTTTAAGGATCCAATCCCTAAGGAAAAGTGGACTGTCTACGTTCGAGATATCGTAGAAGAAAGTAATATGTCACTGCAATACGAGCCGTTGATAGATAAAGTTGAAGGTAAAGAAGACTGCTTGTATCTCGACATCGCAACGAGTGAAATGCCCAACTGCAATAAGCCCGTCATGGTATGGATACACGGAGGAGGTTTTAAAAAGAGCTCCAACACACCGAAAAAATATGGGCCAGATTATTTGATAAAACGTGATATCGTTTTTGTCAGCATAAATTATAGGCTCGGGCTAATGGGTGCGTTATCGATTACTGATAATAAAGTTTAAACGGTGTGACCGAACGTTACTTAGAATTTTCTATCTTCAGGATTTTTAAATATGGACCACGAAGAATGCAGTGGAAATATGGGTCTGAAGGATCAAATACTCGCCTTGAAATGGATTCAACAAAATATTCAATATTTTGGTGGAGACTCGAATAACGTCACAATTTTCGGCGAGAGTGCAGGGGGAGCATCAGTTCATGCTTTGTGTTTATCGCCAGAAGCAAAAGGTTCATAAATTAATATGCTAATTTTGAAATATTCATCAGTATACATACTTAACGATATATTTTTATAGGTCTTTTCCACAAAGCCATTATTCAAAGCGGTGCTGTGACAAATCCCTGGGCGCATATAAAATCGAACAAAAAGTGGGGATACGCTTTAGCCAAGTCTTTTGGTGTAAAATGTGATACCGACTTAGATGTAATTAAAAAATTAAAGGAATTACCAGCTAAAGATCTAGTTAAAAAGTATGAAGATTTGTGTAAAGACGTAAGTTATCAGTTATTCATCAATTAATTTTATCCTTATCATTTAGAAAATTGTATTAAATTCTTTTTCCAGGAACTTGAAAAGGTTCAACTATCACTGGTGCCCACCCAAGATGCCAAAAGTAAGAATCCCGTCTTGCCAGAACCTATCAGAGAGTTAGCGAAAAAAGGTATTGATGTACCATTAATTATTGGATACAACTCACACGAAGGCATCATAAGATTTCTTGGTAACACCTCCAAAGTATATGAAGAGTTGGATAAAAATTTTAACGAAGTTGTCGCAAGCTATCTACGTATAGATGACTATGAGAAATTGGCTAAATACATGGAGCCAATAAAAAAACATTACTTCGGTGATGAAAAAATTACGGAAGCCAAAGTCGACGAAGCTGTGCAATTTTTCGGTGATATGCTCTTTGTCATGGATGTCATTGGGGTGGCTACTATTCAACAACATAAAGATGTTCCAACTTACTTATACAAATTCTCCTACAGGCCTAATTTTCCAGGAGTGAAGGACAGATTCGGAGTTAAAATTGAAGGTATGACTTCATGAAATAGGGAGTGTTTAGATTACCAATTGAATTCAAGAAAAAATTATTTACATATTTTGATTCGTAGGAACGTGCCACGGAGATGAATTGGGTTGCTTATTCCATGCAGAAGCGAGAAGAGAAAGAATACCCGAAGGTACGCGGGATCGTACCGCGATGGAAAGAATGACGACAATGTGGACTAATTTTGCCAAGTTTGGGTAAGTTTTTAAATTGGAATGTAGCGAATTTATAAAATAAAAATTATCGAAACTTTAATTATTGCAGGAATCCAACACCCGAAAAAAATGAACTTCTGAATGAATCTTGGTTGCCAGTAACTAAGGAAAAATTGAATTGTCTCAATATTTCTGATGAATTAACTTGCAGCGAAAATAATGATTTGAGAACGTATGAAATATGGAAACCTTTACTGGCTCAGTTGCAATAATTTGAATTTTAATAAATGTCAGAAATATTATAAAAAAAAGTATTCTTTGTGCATATAAATGGAAATATAAAAAATATATTTGTCAGTTCAACAAAATTGGATAATTTTTTTTTCATCCTGATATCAATTCATATACATATTTCCTAAATATAAATCATACAAAGAATGAAAAATGTATTACATTTCACGTTATAAAAATCATCAAAATTTCAGTTTGTTAATAATTAATTTAATCTTCTTTTTTTACAGAAAGGAATAAGCCATACTTTGATAGAGGGTTACAGAGAGAAAAGGAATTTCCATTAAGTATACGTACATTTTCAATAAAAATTAATCACGAGATATTTTATTAAAACACAAATTAAATATCATACAATCCCAGGTAACAAATTTAATTTTTTGTAATTACGCAGCTGCAATACTGCCCTTTTGCAGTAGAAAAAATTTATGAAGTGAAAATTTAATACGCTCGATTGTTACACACACGAGAGTACATAAATAGAGGCGGTTACATTTTATCGCGTCTTTTTTAAAATAGTTATGAGGTTGCAGTAAATTGCTCGGGATGAGTGTAATTGCACCCGGGCTGCTGCTGCTGCAGTAAAAAAATACAATAAAACAAAGGCGCCTTGCATTGCGTCAGTTTTTTTTTGTACCAGTTCATGAACCTTATGCCGAGGCATTTCTTCTTGCTGGAGTTTATACAAGAGCTTTACATACTTTCGCAGGCAGTACTTCAAGTTGACGATATTAAAAAATTTTTTGTCCCTCGTCATGTGCTTCAAAAATATGTACCCGACGTCTGAAAGCATAAATGAAGTTTATTGTTTTTTGTTGCAGCGAAAAAAGTCGATATTGCAGAGAATATTGTGAGATTAAAAGAATTTTTTTTACGTCGTATATATTTCACGTTTTCAAATTTCGATCGAGCTTACACGCGCAGGAGAAAAAGTATTATATTCTAAACTTGTATCTCATTAGTTTACTCTCTCGGTATCATTCCACGAAAATTCAAACTCGGTACTTCTTATCAATTTCCTTTTTTCAATACTATTCTCTCTCTCTTTCTCTCTTTCTCTCTTCTACTTGCAGACATGAACTTTTTTCACCAAGTGCGGCGCACTGGCACAAGCCAAGCCAACCACATACACAAGGCCGTAAAAATACAAGTCAACGCGCGTGACGCGCCGCGCGAAAAGCATGAATTCTAGAACGCGGAGCTGTATACGCGGCGTATAGCAAACTTGAACGTGCTTTCCTTTTTATCAAAAAAAGCTACCTACGCACACACACACACACATGTATACGTGTACGTGTGTGCGCTCGCGCGCATTGCACTGCACCATATACATTTTTTTTTTTCAATTCTCTCTTTTTAGCCCAGCTTGTGTAGAGCTATATACGCGTATATCTATACGCTCGCGACTACGGCGACGAGCTTTCTTGTTTTTATTTCTTTTCGCTTTCCTTTGTGTCGACGGCTGCTGCTGCTGCTACTGCTTTTTAGCTGTTTCCATTTTAGTTTTTACCTTTTTTCTCTCCTCCTCCCACCGCCGGGCCCGGCTTTTCTTCTTTTTCTTGCCCGATGTGTTGTGTGCGTTTGAGTGCCGCTATACTGCTATACTACTTGCCAGGGTTGGCCGCGCCAGCAGCAAGCGCAGTACTGACCAGCGCGACGCAGCTATATATATATAAGTACAGATGTTCATAGCGCACGAGAGAGAGGAGAGAAAGAGAGAGCCGGGGTGTGAGCATAGCGCAAGAAAATAACTTTTGTCCGGCAATGGCTGTAGCGCGGGGCGCTGCCAGGCGCTGCGAAAATGTGCCGGAAACTAAATTGCTTTAGTATATGGCTAATTGAGCGCCAAAATAAGTGCAGGCGAGCACCAGCGGCGGGGGTGTAGTTGTACACACAGTTTGCGCTCTTGGCTAAAAGTTGCTGAAAGAAGCTAAATTATTTCGAATAGTTTGTCGCAGGCGCGACTAATACTCGAGGGCGCCGTCGCAGCTACAGTACTTCTTTGCACTTGCCTCTCGCGGAGAATAATAGAGATTTTCGTTTCACTTTCGAGAGAAGACCGTGTGTGCTCATCCACTCAAGTGAAAATTGTCTTGGATTCAAGTATTTACCAACAGGATTTTGATGAAAATGCAGCGGAAATATGGAAAAATTAATTTTCAAAGAAAATTCCTTGAAAATTCTTGGAAAATTAATTAAAACGTCGTTTTTGATTTTCTCGAATATATCAAAAGTTTCATTTTTTCTAATAGCGCTTCGAGTTACGCGAGCACGCTCTACCGAACGAATAACAAGCTGCGTTCGAGTTAAAAAATTTTCCAACCGAACGTCGGAAATATTTTAACTCGACTAGTCTTGAAATGTTTCCCCGTGAATTTGTCACACTCTGGTAAATTTTAATTTTTTTTTTTTCATCTTTTTACTCTTCTCTTTTGCGCGTTATCTTTCATCCTCCAGTTTATCTCGATTAGTAAAATCTAGGTCAAATGCGGGATGAGCACGTGTAAACGGAGCTTGCCAGCAGCACAAAATTAATTTACATATTCATTTTTTTCACTTAACTATATATATTCGCCGCGCAGACACTCGTGCAAATAAATTCTTTCGATAGAAAAAGAGAGAAAAACCACAGCGGCAAATGATTGTTATAAAGTTTTGCACGGAGAGTACAAAACCCACAAAACAATTTTTTGTTTAGATTAAAGAGCCGCCGCGCACTTCAATTTTCGTCCATTCGTACAATGCTATTAAAAACTTTTAATGAAATCAAACTTTTCATTCATTTTATCAATGTCAGTTGTGCACTTGCTCGCCCTGCCTGTGTATTCCATTTCATCCAGACAGTAGAGAGAGAGAGAGAGAGTACGTGCAGGGGCAAAGGGATATTTTGCAGCGGAGGGCAGAAATTAAATTTTTATCGTCGTTTCATCGTTACTTCTTGTTGTTGGCCCCGTAATTATTAAACAGTTAGACTTGAAAAATCACCCAGCTTAATGAGAAATTCTGCCGCGCGGTCCAATAAAACAAGCGCGGAGCAGATCGCGCGAGTGCATACAGAAACGAGCATTAAAATACCGCAATAGGGAACAATGACGCTCGCGCGCCGCGACAACGACGACGCGTATACATACATACATATACGAGACGCGAAGCTCTCCTCATAAAAGTCGTCGTAAATTTTCCATTCCGAAAGACTTTGGGAGTTCGCCGCTCATGCACGCTCATCGCGCTCGTATCCTCGCGTGATTCATGTCTCGTGAAATTCGCTTCGGCAAAATCGAGCGCGCGCGCGCGCCCGTACAAAGCTGCGCTGCTTCTTTTTGCTTACATGCGTAGTTTGCCTTTCGCCTCCGATCCATCGCCGCTAATCGACGCGATCCGCATAGTTCCGTGTGTGTGTATGCTGAGCTTTCGTGCGATGCGTGGCTTTATATCTTCATCCCCCTTCCGTTCGAGGTCGTCCTCCTCCCATCGGCCAAGAGTGCGCAGACCCATAATAAATGGACGCCAATTTAATATATACAATATATAGATACAGAGACTGTGTATAGATCATACAGGAGATACCCGTGTGTATATGGATACACGCACAGGTAGTCGAGCGATGATGAGTCGACGCTTTCGATTCTAGCGCGGCGCCGGGCGCGCGTACACGCACACACACTGCACGCACGAAGCTGCGGTACGCGTCGCGTTATTTACGAGCTTTTCACCTATAGTGAAGCGAAATTTATGATCTCCGAAGCGATAACGATTTGTTTTCTCCGTCACACGCGAGATTCAACCTTTTTTTTTCGCGCGCGCACATAGCCATTCAAGCTGCATTTTACGCGTTGGTTAGTGCATTTTTATTCCCCATGGCGCGTGTAGGCGCGTTTTTGGTCCGTAGCGAGAGAGCACGAAAACTGATGAAATGATTCCGAAGCGGTATGAAAAAAAAAATTTGAATAAATGAGAGAGGAGTGCAGCGAGGTGCGTAGCTAGTGCAGGCTTTTAATTGAACATGCTCCACGGTCGTATGTGATTCGAGTGTTTGACGCGAGCTGCTTTTCTACGAGCAGCAGTAGCTTCACACTCAAAGTAAAATTTAAAATTTATCATCCCATCCCCCACTTGTGCGTATGAAACACTATCGTATGTATATACCAGCTGCAGTTGCCGAATATTTGCTAATTTATTCTCTGGTATTGGTCTTAGCTAACCGAGGCGTGCGTTTTTACTTGATATGTGCGCGGCTCGTTAGACTCCGTCGAAAGCTTAGCGCGAAAACAGAGCAAAAGCGAGCTTTCGGTAGTAGTCACTCGCCGGCTTTGCCACATGCTACGTGCGGAGCAACAGCAGGCAGTGGTGTGTGCACAGGCTCACAAGGCGCGACGAGAGACTGCAGTTAGTAGTAGCAACTACCAGCGAATTTCAGGAATTTCAAATGCGCCCACATCTCGTTCTGCGCGCGCGAGTTTACCTACATTTATGCAAAGATTCGAGGGTGAGTGGGAGCGAGACAGACTGACTGTTTTACAGTCGAAAAGCCCGAAATTTGAGAAAATTGGGTCACGGATTCTCTCTCTTTCTCTCTCTCTCTTACTCTCTTGTGCTGCTACTGCTGCAAAAAGAATCCTGCAGTCTTTTTAATTACTTAAATTTTATATACAGGATCGATGCGAAACATTACGAATTCCATTTGGCCATGTATTCAAAGTACATATAGCGTCGATTATGTAGCATAAAACTGGAGGATTATACTACTGCTGCGAAAAAGCGAGCCGCTTTTATCACTCCTCTACAAAAGCTGAATAAACCTTTTTACAGGCGAGGATTTAGGTAGTAGATTTCGCAGAGTAGTTTGAATCTATTTAAAGTAAGAGGGGCTAATAGTGGTTTCGAGAGCCGAGAAAATGTGTGTAGCAGTAGGATGATCAAGTTTTAGTCCCCCGAACTAAATATTAATTGGATTTTGAAACGCGCGCGCGGAGGCAAGAATTACCGGCGCCATCCGGATGACGTTCTTTTGTTACGCCAATGAGAGCTGGAAAAAAAAGAATACGCCAGACATAGCTGCAGGCGTTAAAGAGACACTATTTGTCACTTATGTTATACGCTAGCGAGGGGGCTAAAAATATAGGAAGTTTCTATCGATTCAATCTATTGTATAAGTCGAGCTCGTGACTTTTCTCAACTTTTTGCCGATGCAACGAAAAAAAAAAACGGCACGAACATTTTCCTGATTGAACAGGACGATAAAGCGTCAAGATATCGCAAGCTTGCCACGACCTTGCTACATCATCGTACGCGTCTAGATAGTTCATTTTTTGCCAGCTTTCCATCACATTTCAAAAGTATATGCAAAAAGCGCTTTCCAGAAACGGCAGTAAAAAGAAGAAAATAATTACAAACATTCGAGCCATTTCCATGATTGCTTTGAAATATTTACTTGGTTTTACATACCCTTGGCAAAAGCTTTGAACGTTCGCGCATCCGCTTGAATACTCATTTAACGGATAGTTAACGGGCCTTTGTTTTTTCGTAGTGGCTCTCGTCTATACACGTAAAAAATTTTTTATCAAACGCCAGGCGCGCGCTCGCTTGTGCCAGCGTCTTCGTAATTCTCTGCGCGCAAGGGAGAGAGACAGAGAGAGAGTCAGAGGAAGGAGGAGGCGGAAAGCTCAAGCGAAATTTCTTTCGCAGCAGCAGCAGCAGCAGCACTCATTCCTATAGATCGATATTCTATTAACGAGCTTTAGTCTTGGCAGCAGGCGCGGGGCTCTGTCTCTCTCACTCTCTCTCGCTCGCGCGCGCACAAGACACAAAGAGAAGGCACGCGTGCGGAAGAATTTCGCTGGTTGGCTGCTGTTTCCTATAGCTCGAGTCGAGTCGAGCTTGCAGCAACGCGTTGCGGCGCGTCGGTGGCGGCTGCTGCTGCTGCTGCTGCTGCTGCTGTTTGGCTCCGCTACATTGCCTCGTTCAATAGTGTGTGTTTGTGCGTTAGCAGCTATACTACTTTCGCAGCTATTTTGTTACGTTTGTTACGGCGCGCGTTCCTTCGGTTACTGCTGCGCGCTGCGGCTTCGAAATCGCGGCGAAAGTTTAAAGTTCAAGGGATTTTTATCCTTCTGTTGAAAAGAGCTTTTATTTATTTCAATGAATCTTTTCAGCTTTTTTTTTTTACTACAACGGCGTTACTTTCGTGGCTTAACTCGATTTTATGTTTCAACTTTTTTGATACCTCGTAATTCTCCAGATAATTTCCGAGCTTAACTTAGCAGCTACGAAATAATCGGCAAATATTACTCGATGAACGTTTTATCTTTATATTGGATATCTTTTTATAGGATGCCCTATATAGTCGCCCAAAAACTCAAGAGAAGAAGATGCTGCTTGGGAAATTTAAAATTAAGTATTAGTTTTCGGAATGTACATATTATCCGTACACGAACAGCTTTGCAAGTTTAATATAGATATTTTGATACAGTGTGCGTATCGAAGAATAACCACAGTACGTCACGTTAATTGCAAAACTTTTATACGAGCTTATATATAGCGCAATTTTCCATATTCTCGCGTTGTTGCTTGCATACATTATGACGATGCCTATATATGTATATCAAGCACACAATTATCTCTTTTTCTCAGCAAATCTCTTCCCATCCATCCAGCGAGCGCGCGAGCTGGCTCGTATACGTACATATATACATAGATAAAGTTTAGCCAAGCAAAGTACGAAGCCGCTTTCTCTTCTTCTTCGCTCTTCTTCGCTCTTCTTTCGCTACTTCTTCCTCTTATCGCACGTTTCGCTCTCGACTTTTTCATTTCCTTTGAGGAGAAAAGAGAGAAAAGCGGAGCGGGGAACCTGGATAACTTCGCGGATAATTTGGTTCTCTCTCTCTCTCTCTCTCTCTTTTTTTTTTTCTTCTCTTCTTCGCTCGCTCTCACTCGAGCTATGCGCGCAGCCTTGAAAAGTACTTTTCATCCTGCAGCAATATTCTCGCATGCATGCTGCAAGCTCGCTTGTCTGTGTGTGGTTAAATTTGTATTTTATGACGGATTAGTTGTGCGCGGCGTATACGGATTATATCGAGCGAGCTTCGGAGGAAGCAACACGACACGAATGACAATCATATCTAAGAAACTCGCTCACGAGGACAGAATTTGCATTGGATGCAGCTCGCATAGACGCTCCTCGACGCTACTACCTTCTATAATAGCTGTGGGGCGATAAGCTCGCGCGCGACGCACATCCTCCGCGCGATATCCTGTCGAGAGCCTTGTGCAACTACGACGATGGAGCTGCACCTACACACACACACACACACACACACACACACACACACACACACACACACACACACACACACACACACACACACACACACACACACACACACACACACACACACACACACACACACACACACACACACACACACACACACACACACACACACACACACACACACACACACACACACACACACACACACACACACACACACACACACACACACACACACACACACACACACACACACACACACACACACACACACACACACACACACACACACACACACACACACACACACACACACACACACACACACACACACACACACACACACACACACACACACACACACACACACACACAGACACACACACACACAGACACACACAGTTCATTGTTCGCGTGACACGCACTCGAAAATTTATGCGTCCAGCAGCGGTGGCGGCGGCGTCGGCCTCGCAAGCTGATACGTCCCAGCGACGTACCACCACTAGCCCATTCCAAGGAAATTACCCTTTCATTGCAATTAATTGTCGCGTGTATAATACCAGCATCGTATCGTCGCTGCTCGTGTTATTGTTTAAACGTCAGAGCCGCGCCGTAGTGTTATTTGCAGTCGGATATTATAATTACTGCACAGCGTCGTGGAAAGTGCGGGTGCATCCTTGAACGTACATTTACCCGCGTAAAATAGACAAATTCGCCCGCGCTTGCGGACTGAAATTGAATTGAAATTGTTGGTGTAGTTGCGCGCGGTGTATATAGCCAGCGACTATATATACGCAGCTCGGTGTAACGTGTAGCCGACGTTTTAACAGTCTCCGTAAATTGATGATTTCTGGACTGTATATATGTCGAGACTGCTGCGCGTATTAGTTTATATACGCTCTACGTATAGAGTGTCCGCGAGCATCGTGCAACGGACGTCTCGCTGCTGCGGCTCGGGGGACTCTCGACGTCGATATAAGCCGTAGCAGTCGGCTCGCGAGCTTGCAAGCTCGCAACGAGGAATGTACATAATAGTCGCTAATTTCGTTTGACCGAGTCACAGCTCTGGCAAATCCACGCAGTTATAATCGTCGCTAACTTTGCTTGATATAACTTTTAATTCGATCAGAGTTTCGGATGAATGTGTGGTTTATTGCAGGCACACAGCTAATTTCAATGACGACGCGCGTTGATTGAAGTTCGAGTTCGAAATGAATTCTTGGCATTTATATGTCGACTCTGTGTGGAAGTGGACAACGTAACACCTTTTGTGCCGCATACACATTCAAGAATGCATTCGGTGCTTTCTCAAAAATCATTCTAAATATTTGACAAAGCACAGCGTGCACCTTTATACCAAGTGTGTGTGTGTGCAGCAAGCATCGTTGCGCTTGCAGAACTCTTCACCCCTCGTTCAGCAGTACAGAGAGAAAGCTCGACAGAGCGAGAGCGAGCGAGAGAGAAAGAGCTAGAGAGTGAGAGGGAGGGGACGAGGTATTACACGGTTTCACCGGCGCGATATACCCCCCGTGGCAATGCGCAGCCGCCACATAGGACACGCACGCCGTACACTCGTACCGTATCGCGTATTACTGCAGCGGCAGTTTCGCTCCAGCTGTAGCTCGAGCGCCACACGTCTGCGAGAGCTCGCGGATTAAAGCCATCTCTCTAGACACCCTCTCCTCTCTACCCTCTTATATATCGTTGGCGCGGAAGCTTGCGGCGAGAGTGCTCCAACTCGCTCACGGTAGTCGGTGTGCCGCTGCTGCTGCTGCTGCTGCTGCTGCTGCATCTTCGAGCTGCAACGCGCGTGCGCGCCTCGACGCTCCAAACATGTAGCCTAGCGCGAGCCGAACAGCCGAGAGAGTCCCGACGATATCAGCGTGCGCATTATTATGGTTTATGCGTGTGCATTTGTCAAGAACAAGGCGGGATAACGCGAGCGAGATGTTGCTACCGACGCTACCGTGGCCCGGCCGCAGCCTCGTCGACCGACAGCCGTGAATGTTTCGGGTTGAAAAAATAATAATAATATCGTCGTTGTAGTCGTCGCAGTCGTTGCGCCGTTCCTCTTTTTTTTCTGTTGGTGTCCTTAAAAGTGTGCACAAGGCAGCAGCGGTACAGCGAGGCTCCTCAACAGGCAGCTCGCGGGAGGTGGTGGTGGAAGAGGAAGCTATACAGCGGAAGGGGAAGAAGATACAGCGGGCAGCGACAACAATAACACGGAGGAGCCGAGGACGCTGGTGGCATGGCGCTGCTCGCTAATCTCTGGCTGGTGCTTGCGCTAAGGCTGACGAGCACCGGCTTCTGCCAAGGAAAACAAGGTGCGCGCGGCAGGACGTGTCTGCTTATAAACACGTACAATACATGTATAGTATATATACCTCTCGCATGCGATGCGAAACTTGGCTCATAGCTATATATATGCGACAGACAAATTTCTCAGCTTAATACGAATCTTATCGGGCTTGAGTTCGAGGTAAAGGAGGGCTACGTTGACGAAGAAATTAGGTGTCGGATTTAAGCTCGAGTGCAAATTGAATATTGAGAAAAGTTCACATTTCGTATCGAGTATCCAACGTACGTAAATAAAATCTATGAATAACTCGACGAGAAGACGAGCCAAAAGCTTATGTGCATAGAATCACCCGTTTAAAGAAACCTTATACGAATAACGCGAGTATAATGTTTACTATGCTAAATACTCGCGCGGGTTACCGCCTCCTCTTGAGCATACGCGTATATCATATTACATAACAAAAATATTCTATAGTTTAAAAAGACATTTTTTTTTATTCTTATCATTTTACGGACGGGGAAACAAGGGTATCTTACTGATTTAGAATACATCTGGTTTAGTATCACATGCGTGACACGAATTGTAGGTACGCTAATACTTGTTGGTTTTTAATTGATCGTCAATCTCTTTCGCTTACATGCTCTGCCTGCTTCTCCGGCTCAATCTTGGCTAAGGATCTGCAAAATCTTCTCCTCATACTTTCGCTTGAGAACTTTTCCCAATTCCTCCAAGTCTTGTTTTATATGTTTTTTTCTATTTATATGTTATTGCATTGTTGAGTTTTTCATAGCGCTCTCGATACCTTATAAATATCATCTACTATATTTTGACGATCGATGATTCCTCCGAGCAAGAAAAAGTCGTTAACAATATGTATTACGCATATAAAAGAGTTTCGATCGGCACATATGCGTTCATGCATACATCATCATTCGTATGTATACCGCAACGTCTGCGCTAGTCTCATTTGCCGCGGGATTTTCACAGTGTCTGCCTCGCTGCAGTTGTGGGTTACTACACTTATAACGAGTGAAGAGTCTCGACGCGCTTATACAAAAGTGAGCCTCGGTAATAATATATAGTCTGTCGACTCTCGAGGTGTGCACGAATCTCAACGCGGTTGAAAGCTCGTCTGAGTATATGTGTGAGTCGAATGTGCGACGAGAGGCATGATGTACGCTTAGACGAGCGCGTCTACGTACAAACGTAATCAATGATGCTTTCATTATCGATTGCTTCCTCGGAGATATATATTTTAACGAGAGTTATGCGTAGCTGTTGAAATTGATGCGAAAACTTTGAAGTAGCGATGGTGAGTGACGAACACTTAATTAGTAGTAAAAAAAATTATTCAATCGTGAAACTAGCGTTGGACCACTTTGAACAGTCAAAACAAATATTTAAATCTGACAAGCATCCTCTAGGGTTCATCCCATTTTTCAATGTGGCAATTTGATTGATCGTGATAATAATAATACATTGGTGCATCCAATTCTTCGTAATTTTCCTTTACAGACCACTATAGTACTAAGCTGTTTTATCTATAGACTCCGATGCTGGTCATCTGGTATCTTGGTTGGACAGTTGACTGTGTAGGTGGCCCTTGCCACGACATCGGCGGCACGTTCTATTACTTATCTGCACGTAGTTGGATGAATGACGAGGTCGCATATGCGGACGTTACGTAGTTGATGACTGGCTTTTCTCTTTTTCTTTGAAGCTGGTCTTGAGGGTTATTTTCTCCTTCTTCCCTTGTCGTTTCTTCCGCTCTTCCTCAAGTTAAAGGGAACTGTCGACCAGTAATTTTGCGCTAGCTTCATCGAGATTTTACCGCATAAATGTATCCGCCACGTCCTCGGCATCTTTGCTGTTCCATCAGGTGGTGAATCACCGTAGGTAAAGTCTCAGTAAAAGGCTTGACTAAGAAGAAAATTATTGTCCGTATGATTGATAGACATTAACCTGCGTTTCACGAATAGTTGACCATTATCTGGGTGCATGCACAGCAGTCGCGAGGCGTTTGGCTGGCGCACCGCCGGACGCTCGTGCCCACGAATGCACCCTGACGCAGCTGATAGATGTTACGGAAAGTGACTTTCAGCGAGCAAGAATAAAACGCAGTTACATGTCGAGCATTCGAGAATGAAAGCTATCGAATACTCGACGTGTAACAGCAATAAACTACAAAAGCAAAGTAGACAAAGTAGCTAGGACTGTCGAAGCTAATAACTGCACAATGCACGGAACTATTTGTTCATCCGAAGTTATATCCTTGCTTCGATATTCACGAAATCTCGCCAAGCATTCGGTGTCGGTGTAACGTCGCGGATGCCGCGATCGTTCATCGTACAAAGTTTTCACCTCGAGAGCAGCTCAGATTTTGTCGCGCTCGTCCTCTTCGACGGGCTTGCCGTGGGAATTCTCGCGCGTCGAGGTATCGACTCGCGATGTCGCGCGACAATGGAGATTGGTATTCGATTATCAGTTTATTAGTTTTCTAAAATCGTAAAACATTTCATCGATCGATCCTTGAAAAAAATCCCTGGAATTCGATGAAATAGCATAACGTTGCTGTGCCATTATCGTTCTATTTGGATGTTATCACCTACAACTATTGGACGACGCGAGCTCTCGCATTCAGCGAAAGCTCTCACCGACAAGTGTGAAATTACCGCTTAAATGCCACGAGGAAGCAGCTTTCTCCAATTATTTTACAAGCTTTGAGTCTGTGTGTGTGTGTGTGTGTGTGTGTATGCAAGTTGCGCACACAGCCATACGAATTCTCCGCGTGCGGCTTCTGCTTACTGCTCCACTCTCACTTCGGGGCTATAACAATAACTTGAATCAGCCGCGTGCATTTGTTCGCACCCAAATGCTCGAGCGTAGCTTGCCTCGCTCACCTCTCGCTCGCTTTATTCATCTTTGCTAGCCTCCGCGCGGGCGCCTGTGTATATATGTAGACTCTCTGTATACCATACATAAAGTGTGTATATAGATATACACGAGCATCGTACATAGTGATTCGATTTCACGCTTCATGTGCATACGTCGACTGTGATCATCCAATTTGCTCGTCGCGCGCTATCTCTCCCGTTCTCTCTCTCTGTCTCTTTCTCGTCTTTAACTTTGTTTTAATGATTGTGTACGAGAGTGCAGGAGCGACAGGGTACGCGTGAGTTGTTTTTTTTTTCATGCTCTTCATCGAAACGTTTTCATCTTTGGTGAGTTGATTTATTCTGTCTTTCTCGATGTTCTCTACGCGTTTTTGAAAATTTTCATTCATGTTGTTGCGTGGGTAGTTACTTGAGGAGGGAGAAAGGGGAAATAAATAATTAATCAATAAATTAGTTAATCGATGAAGGTACGAGGGAGAGATTAGATTAAATTAAATTCGATTTTTATACGATTTTATACGATTTTAAATCGATATTATACTTGCGTCTCACTAGATTTTGTAGTGGTTCTTTCAGTCCGTCTAAAAAGCATGGCAAAATGTCTAAACTGTAGAAGTAGTGTTTCTGCCATTCCTCTATTCCCAAATCTGTTTTCGAGATCATTTAGTAATCTGTCCACTGTTCAGCAGGATATTAGGAGTCCACCGTAAACTTCGGTTTCTCCTATGAGTTTGGATTGTAGTGCCTGTATTATGTCTATTTCTGAGAGGAGGAACGCTTTCTGCTGTGCGTTCCGCCGCTTGGCAGAGTAGTGCTAGTTTTTCTGGTCTTCCATCGAATTTATAAATATTAGAAAAAATTTATTCTTATTTTTAATAATTGGATTTCTCGAATTTCTCACACGCGGGGTTGAATAGAAAAAAAAATCCGTGAAAATTATTCATAAAAGTTATTTTATGGTTGAAAGAATTATTGGAAAAAAAATCGATAGTACTTTCATATAGCTTTAACATAAACTTTCATGTAATATTTTTACCTTCTCATATTTTTTCAATTTTGCAGTCAAAACTTTTTATTCTTTCATTAAAAAGTTTTGCATACTTTTCTTATACTATTCTTATGCGGTGCAAAAAAAAAGAAAATTCATGCGCCGATTTGAATAAATAAATGATTCATTGTTTACCCAGGCACTCGTGAAACATACTTTATAATTAAAGGAAGTGTTTAATTATAAATGACAAACCGCAGATAATGGCAGCAATTAATATTAACATAGCATACATTCGAGGTAGCGTTTGAATAATAAACGTAAATCAAAATAAATTATCGGATTTATTTATGATACCTTTCTGTTAAGGAAAAATGAGCGCGAAAATATATGGAACTTTTCAATTGACATCAGGATTCATGCCGTTATGTGAGTAGTTGCAGAGCAACTATGGGCAGTCAAAACAATAACTTTGTCCATAGTGGTCCGCTTTTTATTAGTTTGCATTTTTTTCTCCTTCAAAAACAATTATCAAAGATGGTGTAATCTTTTATTATGAATAAATTTTAGATTAAAAATAAATTAATCATTTTCGTACATGACTACTAGTACAACGCTACATATACGTAGCGTTTTCATTACGAAGAAAAAAAAATTAAGGTCACTTTTATTCATACAATAATATTTTGACATTAAAAGATGCTTTATTTTTGTTAATCTTGACATAATTTAAGCGACCATCGTTTGATATTCAACGATGACTTAGTGTCACGAACGACGAAATCGGCCAGGATAACCGTCTGGGTTAGATGTAGGCGAATTTCTATACACGGCCTAGTCGAGACCAGATATGCACGTCGTCGCAAAAAGTGCAAAGCTCAGCAACAACCGGCAGTACTGCTCCGTATGCAGTGGCGTCGTGTTACCAGACACGATAATGGGCTTTTAGTCACACGCACTCGGGGTGCTACGAAGTTACGATTTCACGTAGCTCGAGCTTTAAAGCGCTTAAAATGTTAGCATTAATCTCGGTGTAGTATTACCATAATATTTTGAATTCAATGATGAATTATCCAGCGCGTGATATGACTCTTTCTCTCTCTTTCTGTTCCTCTCTACTAGTAAAACGTAAATAATGGTTTA